ATATGTTACTAAGAAATGTCCTCGGTGATGCCATGGGTAACACATTGAACTACATTTGGAGTGTCCTTCGCTATTGTAAAATGGTTTATCTGAAGTGCTTAAACTACATCTGCACACGGTAAAGGCCCGGTACGCCGAAGCTTTGGTCTGGCAGTCTCTGCCTCGACTGACTTCCACCCACCAGAACATCATAACCCAGCGGTCTCAATAAGGAACACAACCCTCCTTCAAGGTCACTATGCTATCAGGATTCACAAGGCAGTGAATCTTACAAACGCTTCCTTATCTTGATATGACTTTCCCCTTATCTTTTATGTAATTCACTTTATTTTTTTAGAAGAAATAAACACTTTCCATTTTTCTCATGGCGAAAATAAGTGTATCTTTCCGAGATAAGAACGGAAATCAAAGTGACAGACATAAAGTCTTATCGCAGTTCTAAGAAGCCATCGGGAACTAAACAAGACCTAATATCAAATTACGATTTCTTAACATGTCATGGGAGGTGACAGTATTGATTCTCTACCGCGAAAAAAATTAATCGAAGCATCTCATTTCTTATCAGAACGGGCCTAGTAGATAACGTTTTTTTTATTTTTGGTGCGTGATGTCTGTGGTTCTCGTTTGTCCTCGCGGTCTTTAATTTCCTCTTTACGATCAGTTTGCAACGAGACACGGGATTGGTCGAGGCTGGAGGTTGACTTGCGCAATATCCAGGCAACAAAAGGGTAACTTCCCGTATGCGAGAACCGCCGCCAAGTTATAGCGACTGTTTCAGCTGCGTGTGTGTGTGTGTGTGTGTGTGTGTGTGTGTGTGTGTGTGTGTGTGTGTGTGTGTGTGTGTGTGTGTGTGTGTGTGTGTGTGTGTGTGTGTGTGTGTGTGTGTGTGTGTGTGTGTGAGTGTGTTGTAAATATATGCATACTAACTCATCTATATATCTATATATCTCTATCTTTCAATTTATATCTCTATCTCTGTCTCTCTCAACCTCTTCCTCCCCTCTTTCTCGTATTTCTCTCTCTCTCTCTCTCTCTCTCTCTCTCTCTCTCTCTCTCTCTCTCTCTCTCTCTCTCTCTCTCTCTCTCTCTCTCTCTCTCTCTCTCTCTCTCTCTCTCTCTCTCTCTCTCTCCCAAACCCTCCCTCCCTCCTTTCTCTCCTCCTTTGTATCTCTCTCCCTCTGTCGAATACGCTGCGGTGTTTACTCCGAAAATGTATTAGTCTCCCCTCCCACCGAAATAGTTTGCAGAAAATGGAATCAATAGAAAAGCAGCGCCAAGGTATGTGTCCCAGGATAACGAAGATGGATAACAATTGCGATAAAAAAGCAGGTCTTTGTTAGAGTGCGTTAAACAAGCCCGGAAATGGATCGTAAGCAACAGTAGCAGTTAGTAGTAGTTACAGTATTACTAATGGTAGCATTAGTAGTACAACAGCAGTAACAGAATTTGTAGTAGTAATAGTAGTAGTAGCAGCAAAAGTAGTAGTAGTAGCAGCAGCAGCAACAGAATTAGTAGTAGTAATAGTAGTAGTAGAAGTAGTAGTAGTAGTAGTAGTAGTAGTAGTAGTAGTAGTAGTAGTAGTAGTAGTAGTAGTAGTAGTAGTAGTAGTAGTAGTAGTAGTAGTAGTAGTAGAAGAAGAAGAAGAAGAAGAAGTAATAGTAGTAGGAGTACCAGCAGCAGCAGAACAATTAGTGGTACAGTTTTATTAATATCAGAATTATAGTAGTAGCAGCAGTGGTAGTATAGCAAAAGTAGCACCACCACCAACAGTAGTCGTATAGAATGCAGAAGTAATGGTAACAGTAATAATAGAAGCATGCTAGTGATATGAGCGTGGTAGCAGTTTCTGATGGCTGGACAATAGTAAAGTAGTAATAGGAGTACAGTATAGCTTGTGGTAAAAAAAAAGTTACCAGTTTTCGTAGTTGTGTTATTAATAGCAGTAGCATAATTAGAAATATAAGACGTGGTTGTAAAAGAAGTAAAAATAGTAGTAGTAGCATGTGAACCGTAACATTAACAATAGTTTTAGAATAATAGCATGTCTGTGTAGTAGCAGAAGGTAGTAGTAGTAGGAAAAGAAGGTAGTAGTAGTAGGAAAAGAAGGTAGTAGTAGTAGGAAAAGTAATAGTATTTAAAACCTGTATCAGATTAGGAAGGCGAAAGAAAGAAGAAAAAAGAAAGATAAATTTATAATAATGATGATAATAGTAATGATAATGATAGGGATTATAACAATAATGATGATAATGATAGTAAAAAACAACAAAAACAACAACAGTAATTATCATTATGATAATAGCAAAAATAATTATAATGATGATAAAAAGCAATAATCATGATAATAGTGATGCTGCTGCTGATGATGATAATGATGATAATGAGGATAATAAACATAAGAAGGAGAATCGCTATGATGATAAGATGACTCGCGCAACCATGGAAATTCCACGAAACGAAATGTTCACGAGATACTTCTCCCTCATCTCTCCCTCTTTCATTCTTCTACCTTTCGCCTCCTCTCTCTTGCCCTCTCCTCGCTACCTACCTTTCTTTTCCGCTCTGTCACCCCTTCCCAGTCTGTCCTCCCCCCCCCTTTCTTTCTCCTTCACTCCCTTCTCCCTTTCTCTCTCTCCCCCATCCCTTTCTCTTTGAGCCTCCTCTCCCTTCTCCCTTCCCCCCTCCCCTTCCCTCTTTACGTCACCCCCATTTCCTCTTCCGCTTCTCTCTTTTCTCCCTCCCATTTCTTCTTCCGCTTCTCTCTTTCTCCATTTCTTCTTCATTTCTTCTTCCGCTTCTCTCTTTTCTCCCTCCCCATTTCTTCTCCTTCCTCTCCTACTCTGCCTCTTTACCTCCCCCTCGGACAGCCTTTTGAATAATAAATGCGAATAAACTGACGGTCTAAGCATTCTCGTGCAGTGTGCTTGCCGCGAAGAATGATGATGATAGATACAGTAACAATGATAGTAATAATGAGGATAATAATAATGATAATGATAATAATTATGATTGTGGTAATAATGTACAGGATACTGAAAGATTCTTAATATGAAGAATGGTGATGATAGATACAATAACAATGATAGTAATAATGAGGATAATTATAATGATCTTAATGATGATAATTATGATTGTGGTAATAGATTATGTACAGGATACTGATAGATTCTTAATATGATAATATGGGTCGCGCGCGCAAGTGCATTTGTGAGTGTAGTGTCATTTTTAGGTATTTATGTTGCCAGTTATCACTTCATTTTACATCAGAAGGAAGTGACTTCAGCTTCGCAATCACGTGAAATATAATTTCTACGTAAAATGCAAGCATAGCGTGCTGACGGCCGGACGTACACTACAAACATACGAAACACAAGCAGGGAATTAATATCAATATTTATAGTGATAAAAAAAAAGGTGAAGAAGAAGAGGCAAGAAATGCAACTGTCTTTTTCCTCCTCCGAGAGGTCACCGCGAGAGAAGGTCGTGGAGGTGGATGAGTTTTAGAAATACGATACGTGTCCCAAGCCTTTAGTGGGAGAGAGAGCGCTGGGTTACAAAGTTTATGAGCGGGAAATTCCAAAGCATTAAAAAAAAACAGAATGATAGAGAGAGTTGGGTTACGCAAAAGGAAAACAAAAAGAGAACAGAAGACAGAAAGCATGTTTGAAGGATGTAAAAGGTTGCGTTGATAAAAGTGCTGATAAACAGTCTAAATTTATTCTCTTAGGACGGCGTTTAAATTTCCTGTTAAATTTGTTCGTTTGTTATTTGTTTTATCTCCAACTTATTACAAACATTTTTATAATTATTACGGTATTGTTAAGAGTTACTGCATTCATATTGTTGTTAATTGCTTTTGCCGTTGTTGGTGTAACTTTACCATTATTCGTTGTGACTATTATTGTTATTATTATTACTATTATTATTATTATTATTATTTTGATATTATTATTACTATCATTATTATTATTATTATTTATTGCTAGTAGTAGTAGTAGTAGTAGTATATTAGTAATAGTAGTAGTAGGAGGAGTAGTATATTATCATTATTATCTATTACTATTATTATTATTATTATTATTATTATTATTGTTATTATTGTTATTATTATTATTATTATTATCAATATTGTTACTGTTATTATTATTATTATTATTATTATTATTATTATTATTATTATTGTTATCATTATCATTATTGCTATTATTATTATTATTATTATTATTATTATTATTATTATTATTATTATATTATTATTATTATTTTATTATTATTATTATTATTATTATTATTCATTATTATTATTATTACCATTATTGTAATAGTTATTATCATTATCATTATTATTGCTGTTATTGTTGTTATTGTTGTTGTTGCTGTCGATATTATGATTATTGCTATTATCGTTATTGTCATTATTATTGTTATTATTATTATTATTATTATTATTATTATTATTATTATTATTATTATTATTATTATTATTATTATTATTATTATTATTATTATTATTATTATTATTATTATTATATTATTTATTATTATTATTATTTATTATTATTATTATTTATTATTATTATTATATTATTATTATTATTATTGTTATTATTATTATTATTATTATTATTATTTTCATATATTATTATTATTGTTGTTGTTGTTGTTGTTTTCATTATTATTATTATTATTATTATTATCATTGTTGATGTACTTATCATGTTATGATGATGATGATGATTGTTATTATTATTATTTTATTATTATTATATATTATTATTATTATTATTATTATTATTATTATTATTATTATTATTATTATTATTATTATTATTATTATTTTATTATTATTATTATTATTATTATTATTATTATTATTATTATTATTATTATTATTATTAATATCAATATTGTTATTAGCAGTTGTAGTATTGTGATAGTTGATATTATTGTTATTACTATTATCGTCATTGCCATTACTATTATTTTTTATTACTATTATT